ATAAAAAATATCGGGATGTGTGAAATTCGAAGAAATTGGATTCTTATCTCACATTTTATAAGAGCTATACTTATGCACAATTGTTGACCCTTTCGTGGATGTACTTGATGCCGATATTGCCTGTTTTCGTACCTGAAATAGCACTGATACGAATATTGGGATTTACAAAATTTTAACGAAATGGGATGATCCTTTCCTGTTCTATTGGATAAATTATGAAAATTTTGACCTTTAGTAGGGAAGCACCATAAAAACTGGACCGATATTTCCCTTCTCCGAACTTGATCTAAGTTTGGTAATAACATTACGATGCATAGAGTTTGGACCGAATCAGATACTCCCTCCGAGAGTTATCGTGAGCATCAGCCAACCATACGGACACCCCTAAATCGACTCCAAATATCCTGAAACCATTATTTTGATAAGGCACGTTTTGGCCGTATGATTGATATGAACCCTCTGTAGCCATATGCCACCAGCTTGCAATATACAGGGTGAGATAAAACTGCAACAAACTTGAGACTGCTGTCTTTACTTAGGTACTGGTCCGACAGATGTTAAAATTATTCCAGTGACAGCTCATTATATTGTTTACAAGCTTATAAAAGCATTTTGGTAAAATTTTCCAGAAAAAAGTTATTCGTGATGGAATTCAAGCGTTCAAGCGATTTCTTTACTCAAATGCACTCCTGCATTTAAATCTGAATAAATCTTTTGTGTCTCGTACAATCGCTCGTTACCGTGATACTAGTAGTTGTGGTGGTCATGGAAGAGGACGGAAGAAAACAGAAACATCAGCAGAAATGGTTCAAAAAGTAAAGAAGCGACTTGATCGAAACCCGCGTCGCAGTAGCCGAAAAATGGCTCGTGAGCTGAACATATCGCAAATATTGAAACATGAGCTCGGGGTAAAGCCATTGAAATTCTCACTCAAATGCACTCCTGCATTTAAATCTGAATAAATCTTTTGTGTCTCGTACCATCGCTCGTTACCGTGATACTGGTAGTTGTGGTGGTCATGGAAGAGGACGGAAGAAAACAGAAACATCAGCAGAAATGGTTCAAAAAGTAAAGAAGCGACTTGATCGAAACCCGCGTCGCAGTAGCCGAAAAATGGCTCGTGAGCTGAACATATCGCAATTCCATTCGGCAAATATTGAAACATGAGCTCGGGGTAAAGCCATTGAAATTCCAAAAAGTGCAAAAACTTGCACCGCAACAAAAAGAAAACAGGCTCAAAAGGGCTAAATAGATGCGTCGCTTGGCCGAAAGTGGATCGTGTTTACTTCCCAAAGAGGTCAGCTGAAAATGTGCACCTTCGGTTGGTCACCAGGACTCAAGCGCCATGGTGTGGGCCTCCATAACAGCCGATGGTCGCTCTCCGCTCGTATCAATCGACCGTGGCATCAGAATAAATGCCAAATATTATCGCGAACATATTCTGGAGGGTGTATTTAAGCCTTGGGCACGCAAACATTTTGGCCGCAGACTTTGGACATTCCAACAAGACTCAGCACGCGCCACCCAAGAATGGTTACAAAATGAGGTTCCTCGCTTCATTTACAGTAATGGCCTATTGTGTCTGAAGTGTTTTGGAAAGCAAAGTTGGCACTAAACAATATCACAGCCAAAATACTGCAGAGCAACATTCGGGCAGCGTGTGACGGCTTCATTGGCCGTTTAAATCCATAATTCATGTCTAAGGTGACCAATTCGAACATATCTAAAATTTGATGCTATTTCCGACATTTTTTCCTTTCATTCAATAAAATTTAAAAAAAATGTAAAATTTATGGCGTTTGACTTTGTTGTAGTTTTTTTATTTCACCATGTAAACTGAACTACAATAAAATAGGCTTTCCTTCATTTCTTTTTTGCCCGGGGACTAATATTCCTTGTTTTGAAAACTGAGTTCATAATCTTTTTTTTAGATTTTTTTCAATGAACTTTGCTAAAATCAGGTTATACTGTGTGTTGGTACAATTTAGACATTCCCAAGTTTCATGAATATATATAATTTTGAATTCTGGAATTTTCTCATCAACGATGCTTCCCTTAAATTTTAGATACATTATTTATTAGTAAAGGCCCTGTTGCGGAGCAAAAAAGAAACTCAAATAAATCGTCCCTGTTTGTACCCATATGTCATTGGTAATTTAATGCAAATTAACAGCATCATTAGCAGCAAATGTTTCAGTTTTTCGTGCTTTTGCCTCCTGTGTGTACGGAAGCCAGTTGATGGAGTGTCTGGGTGTCAATGTGATGTCTCCTCTGAAATCATTTTCCACACTTCGACATGCAAATGGTAACAGAAAATAAATTTACACGCAGCTCCTATCATCGATGCCATTAAAAGCCATCTGATAAATATTTCTTTTGGAGTAGAAGTGCACGTCCATGATGAAGATGAGCAAGAAAATCCATCTATTGGCGCTTAGCGATTCAAATTTCAAGAGAAATTTTAGAGGGATATCCATCCATATGTGTTCACACATGAGGACATTTGGGGAGGGAAATGATAGCTGAGCATGCAATGACGAGATATTGTCATTATCATTCGATTTAATTTCCATGAAGAAAATCCGTTTACTTTTACCTCTCTCAAAAAAATCGTTTCATTTGGGTCAATCTTTGAATGGAAAACCGTTGGTTTTGCTGGAGTGGGATGCGTGCGTTATATGGCTTTCCAATTTCTGTTAAACATTGTTGTTATTGTCGCTCAATGCTTTTACAAGTTTTTATGATTTTCAATATCCGAATGTTACAACTTTGTGTCTGTTTTGGACAGTTTGTGAGTGCTCTTGTTTCGAGTTTTTTTTCTTTTCAGTTTTCCAATTTTGTTTATATGGCACACTCATCATAATTAATTCATTAAATGTTTATGAAGCTCATATGGTGGACATGCAACCAGCGCGAGTCAGCCAGCCAGCCAAGCACTGCATCAAAATGAAAAACAGATACACTTTTTTATGGAACTCTTTTTTTGTAACAATTTGAGATTAATTTACGAGTGCTGGCTGGAGGACTGACTCCTCGTTTACATTGTTTATTGATTGTGGCGTTGTGGTTTTGTTGCCATTGAATGATGGTGGGTCTAGCGGCCTGCTGGTCGGGTTGTCATTCATTCTTTCGGTTAAAAGATCAAAATGCCTTAATTCGTATGCAAATTAATTGCTTTGTTTGTTGCTGCTGCTGCTGTTGTTGTTATTTAAAGCTACTACAGCTGGTGACGCTTTTATGAGTTCATTGTTGTTGCATTGCCACAGAGCAAGCGCCAATACAAAAGTTAAAGTTTATTTTATTTTTATTTGTTCGACAAAGGCATGAGAATTCATAGAACGATCTGAAGTTGTAAAATTCCGAGAATTAGAACTGCTTACTCTAGTGATTTGAATGGAATTTGAAATTTTAATTTTAATTAGAAAAACTGTCAAACTTTGACATTATCTATTACTCAATCTTCCAATGAAAGTAGTCTAACATTTACAAGAACTAATGAATAAAGATAATGGCAAAGTAATTTTAGTTTATTTTACATTATTTTCATGATATTGATGGGAAATTAATTTTATTTTGAATAATTTAGTAAAAAATGTTGCTGACGATCGCAAGATGCTTGAAGTAAATAGAGTTTGATGGACGCCCTTTCAGACTCAGGATAGCTTTTTCCTGGTCAACGTTCTTTAAATTTTGAATGGACAAATTATTCATCATTAAAGCTTTTTATGCCCTCAGCCATAGGGCTACAGGTCTCTAGATCTCTTTGGACCAAATCCGTTTCAGGACATTCGGAGTCGATCTAGCGACGTGCGTTCGTCCGTCTGCTTTGCTGGCACGTACGATATCTCTTGAAGGGTGTATCCGATTTGGTCCAAACTCGGTGCATCGTAATATTATTATCAAAATTAGATCGAGTTCGGAGATGGGCAATATGGGTCCACTCCTTCTGGTACATCCTTCACAAAAGGTCAAAATTTTCAATAAAAAACATTTACTGCACAGGAAGAGAAGAATAACCCGTTTTTTCAACTATGGAAATCCTAATATTTGCATCAGTGCTAGGTCAGATGTGAAAATGGAAAATATAGATCCACTCCACCAAGTACCTCCCCCACAAAGGGTCAAAATGTTGGATAATTATAACTCTTATAAAATGATGTAAGAGTTAGATTGTCTTCAAATTACACACATCAAAATATTTTTATTAGCTCAAGGTCTGGTGTAAAGATGGAATATATCAGTCCACAAATTGGAAAAAATTCCGGCGAATAACGTCGCAAAAATCATCATAATACCGAATATCGGCAGGAATCGTTATATACGGGATATATGATATCGTGGACCTACATAGACAATTTATTTACAGACGGTAATGTATTCACAAGGAACTACTTTTGTGGATTCTAAGACAATTCATTTGTAAAATGTTGCTAAAATAATCAAAAGACCGAATATCGGGGGCTACCGTTGTATGGTGGCCATATGATATCGTGGACCGATATAGATCAAAATACCGAATATCGGGGGTACCGTTGTATGGTGACTATGCGATATCGTGGATCGATATAGATAATTCTCTTCCAGGGGATAAAGAACACACAAGCCCTTGTGTGGGATGTGTCTTAGAATTTTACTCTGATCAGAAATATATATACTTTGTTGGGTCTAAAATTATTATTTCGATGAGTTACGAAGGGAATGACGAACTTAATATACCCTCCATACTTTATATGGTGGAGGGTATAACAAATTATCAACCTTTCGGAACAGCCTCAATCTGAAAATATCCAAAATTGTGAAAAAGGAAAGAACGTTTTATTTAAAACTTCGATACATGTCAATACTTTTTTTTAGCTCTTCTTTCGCAATCTGCTGAAAATGTTCCGCACAGTGTTATTATTCGACAATAACCATTGATCTTATTAATCTATATAGTTAAAAATATTTTTCTACACAATTTTAATTCTAATGCATTTTTTGCTTACTTTTCACCTTTGCAGGTCATAACCCTCAACGAAACCCAGGGCTCAATAGAAAAACTCACATTTGTCAATCACACAGAATGTCATTGTGTGGACAAAGCGAAGCAGCGCTCTGCTCTGTATGAAGCCGACGAAGCATCTTCGGAAATTGCCTCGAATCACATACCCTATCTGCGAAGAGCCACCATTCTGAACTGCAATTGTCCCAATTTGTTTGAGAAAATTCTGCAAGAGGATGGTTTTTGTCGATGTGACTGTTCGTCGGGCAATATGGGCTGTGATTGGCTCAAACGTGGCATGGAACATTTCTCCATGAATGATAGAAAGTAAGTATTTGAGTGAGGGACCATGCAGGGAAGAAATTTTTAGAAACAGTCACTAAATCCATTTTTCATCTCTTCTCTTCTGCAGATGTATTCTGGAGGGTCGCTGCAAGCTGCCCACCTGTGAGTATGGCACATATATGAAAAAGGTGGGCCGCTGTCCGCGACGTGAAGAACGACAAGACTCAATGGACACGGTTGATTGGTGAGCCTCATACTAGAGTTACATTTAAATGGCCAAAAGCTCGAACCTTTTGCCATTAATGAGCGTTCACACAATAACAACAAACGAAGCTAAATCGACGAAACGCCAACAACAATTCCGCACATAGGAACATTTTTGTAATAAGTTGTCGGATATTTCAGATATAAATGGTAGTTGGACCTTGTAGCAGGCGTTAGAACTTCAGCGCCCAACTAATGTTATTAATTAAAAAAAAAAAACACAACAAACATTAACTTAAAGTATTATACGTGAAACCCCCACATCATCCAAGATAAAAATTAATTATTATTATTGAATAAAAATTATATTATTTATAAATTTAGACTTTTTCGAAATTAAGTAATGTTACAAAACAAAAAGAATATAAAACTTTGAGTCAAAGAATACAAAAATAAAATATAAATTATTAATAAACAAATAATTGAAAGTTGATAAAGAAGCCACTATTGGTGCAATGTTCTTGAAAACAATATCTACTCTAAACAATTTAATATACCAATATTACAAATAATCAATTATATACGGATATACATTGAAAGAAGAAAACCCAACAAAAGAAAGAAGACAAACAAAAAATTTACGAAAAACAACAGCAAAATCAGTGTTCTTACAACAAAAAAAGCAACAGCATATCTTTTGAATTCCCTCCTATTAATCTTTATATATGTATATGAAATATTGTAGTTCTCTATTATTACTAATTATAATTATTAGTATTGTATTTACTGTTATTACCCCTACCCCCTTACATTTTAGTAAGTTTTTGTCTACGAATCTGCATTTAGAAAATACGTGAAACAAAACAATCTCTTAGATCTTATTTTATACTTAAAGATGTTTACAAAGAATCCTGAAAAAAATAAACAAATAATCACAAAGCTACAGTGGCAATATTTTCATGCAGTTTAGAGTAAGTTCGATTTAACTGCATTGGTCATAGCTGCATATTAGCTTTTGCTGGCCATAATTTTTTCTATTGCAATTTGCAATGTTTTAATTTTCTTCATCTTTACCGGACTTAATTCGTATACCAACAGAAGTACCCATATAATATTGAATTTGCAAATCGTGAAAAATCTTGGTTTAAAACTGGTTAATGGCTCTTTGCAAAACAAGTTTTTGGAATTACAATATCATTTTGAGCAGCCGTTTTGTCACAGATTACAATTTTCGATTTGTATTCTGTGTGGATTAAACTTCCTGCCTTTTTGGAAATTCCTGCGTAGGTTTTTGTAATGAAAATATTGAGTTAAAAGTATATATTGAATTTGGAGTACAATACTTTGCATAGTGGCGTTACGACGATACGATACGTCGTAGTTTATAAATCAGTCTAAAATATTTCATATATTTGAAAGACCTCAGAACATTCTCGTAATTTCGTTATGCTGACTTTGGGGCAGGAATGCCTTAATTAGGCATTGTTTAATATTTTCTTCTACTGTTCCAGCAACATTTACTCTCTTTCAACCAGTGTTAAACTATATATTTTTGATCGAACCGAAGATAAAAACCAATTTCAACAATTCTGTTTCTCTTTCGTCCGTCGCGGGAAGTGATATTCATATTTCCTCAGACTAGGTATGCATTATTATTTATCAATCGGCAGGTCACTATTATGGACCCGATTGTCTCCAAGAGGGTGAAATGTGAAAAAGTAGGATATCTGTTTTTTCGATGTTGGTCGGATTATTATATGTGAAAAGAACCATAAGTTGTAAAAACTCCTATTTTATGGTGCATATATTTACAGGTGTAAGGGTGCATATACTTACAGGGTTCAGCTAATCTGGTACTAACTCCAGGTTCAAAAATTCGGCTACTTTACGTTAATTTTTTGTAACGCAGGTACCAAGAGAAGAGACGAGTAGACTCACATAAGATTTTGCTGATATTTGCAGAGTCCGAAATGGTCCAAACAATTTTTTTTTTTTTGACAATGCTGTTAAATAGCTTATTACAATACTTTCGGATAATAATGGAAAATTATTTATTTCAAAGGGTTGCCTCGACTGGCCATGCAGTAGCCTACACACACGATTGGTCCAACTTTTTAAGATCATTATCGATTGTGTGTTTGTATGTGTTTCACCAATGGCTAGTCCACAAATGGCGCCTCTGGTTTGTCGACCCAACAATTATCGTTGAAGGCACCCCACAAATAATATTCTAACGGTGTCAAAAATAGCTCCAAGGTGATCAACTGATATAAGCTTTTTGAAAGCCGTTTGAAACGTTGCCAATATCCTCCTCTATAATTTTGAAGAAAAAAAAAATGGCAAATTATATCTCAGGACCAAATCCGCACCAAACAGTGACTCGCTTTAGATTCATCGGCAATGTATGAATGTAGGTTTTCTGTACCCAAATGCGACAATTTTACTTGTTTACATACGGAGCTGACGGTGTTTACCTTCATCCCAAATCCGTGCCCAATTTTAACACACATTATCGTGATTTTAATATCGATCTTTTTTACAGCGTTGTTCCAGCGTATACACAACCATATTCGTTCAGCGGAAGAATATAACTATTTTTTTTTAAACAGACATGATATAAGTATTGCCGTTCAAGAAATAAACGCTAGTTAAAAACACGTTAGATGGTGGACCGTCCGTTCGTTCGTATGTCACTGAAATTTTGCGAATGAAGTATAGGTCACACTTCCTTTCCCACTTACTGTCAAATTGAGATAACATTTTAAAAGTTAACTTGGTTGGCCACAGATATTATTTATAAACGATTCAGAGTTGAATATAGCCGATTTTGTATTCATTGTTCATCCATTGCGTTATATCTTCCAAGTCCAAAATAATGCCTGCCAAGCTAATTGGAAATTAGTACTGATATTTTTATGTCTCCTATATAAGTTATTAGGTACTTAAAGGTCCTTATATATCACATCATATATGCTGCTCTGACTTCTCAATATATATTTTAACAGAACACGATTGATGATGATAATTTTTTCAACACTTATTCCATTTTAAATAAGAACTGTAGTAAGGCGTCTAATGTTAATGATTTATCCGCTAACTCTGCAGCAATGGCGCTTATATGGTTTTTATAATTTCCCCAGATTAAAATCTTCATTAAATTCCCATTTGCATTGGTTAAAGTGGCCCAGTAGTATTGTGACGGACTGCTAATTGTTTTATACTCTAATGAAGGTTATACCAGATCTTTAATCTTTAATTATTCTAAAATCATAATAATTAAGTGCTTAGCTTTGCTCGATTATAGAACTGTTTTGTGAATGTTTGGTGTTTTGCAACAGGCATTAATGTTTATGATGGCGTAAAAAAAAATAAGTTAGCTCAATTATAATTACACTGGTCAACAAATTGCAAATAAATGTCTGTAGAATATTGGTCTTAATTATAAAGAGTTAATTTTATTACTTTTTTAAAAAGTCGCGAAGAGGGCCAACACTTCCTCAAAGAGCACTGACCTTTAAGTATACAAGAGCAAAGACCTATATTTAGGTCCATATTCAATGATATTTGTCATGCTTCTGTATTCTTGTATTTTTACTATTAACATACCTATGTCATCAGCTGGTACACTACATATTATAGCCACAAATCATTTGTTCGAAATGCATTTTTCAATTTTTCAAGTCTTTGCGATTTTATGTCTTTGACAAAAGTAGGGATAGAGGACTTAAAATCGAAAAAATAAAGAGCCAGAATGGAAGGCAAAATCTTCTTCAACCCCAGACTTGGAGAATAATAAATTTATATTAAGAGAAGTACCAATTATCGACATTTTTCAAAATCCTGGACATTTCTCCTTAAACCAATTTTGTGAAACTATTTTCTTGTTGCTCAGTGTAATATTTAATTGGCAACAATTAAATTGTTCACGATTCAAGAATTCATCATAACGTATGAATAGTTTCATTGCAAGTGTCAACTTGCATTTTGTTAGCTATCTCAAATATCAAATATCTATTTCACTCAAAAGCTGGCCTGAGCTAAGTTGAGCTGATCTAGCGCCAGTTTATGGCATTAATTAACATCAATTTAATGGCTATTACTAACTGAGGTGGTGCATGGCGCCATTTGATTGCAACAAATTAATAAAGAATTTGTTATTGTTCCCGGACAGGTTTCAACGTTCAATTACTTAACTGCTGGATATGTTTGCGGTAGCCGCATTTGGCGCTAAGGTCCGATGTAAATCACATTTGATTGTCAACGACTCGATTGGAAATTGTTTCACAAATTAATTGAAAATATTTGCCACTGTAGTATTTTTTTTATTTTAGTTGTAATATGTAATTTTGTATTTGTATATTTTTAATAAAAAGATTGACGGATCGCATAACAGGATTGTGACACATACACTCACACAGCGAGAGAGAGAGGGACAGCTACATGTAAATGGATTACCTTTACTTTGTGTAACAACATCACGTTTAATTATAAGTTTAACCTGTACTATATTATTTGATTTAGTTTATATTATATTGAAATACATACACACATATTTCCATTTGCATCTATACGTTTATATTTTTGTGTAAATTTATTCCAATTCACACAAGTATGCAGATTTTGAAACTTTTAGTTAGAGGCTCATATCTAAATGACTTACAGGATATTTGACAAGTCGAACGAGATTTGAAAATTTTATGACATTTTAATCAAAATAAGTAATTGAAAATTGATTAAACCATATTAGAAGGATCTATTTTCGAGACCGATATTTTAGAAAATGAAAATAGCACTGGAATGTGATGTTATCATCATGAACGTCAGTGTCAAACAGTCAAAACATGAATGCATTTAAAATACATTGTTGAACCACAATGGAAGTTTAAAATTTAATTTTGGACAGAGGCCTCGGTAGCTGAAGGACAGATTCGCCGTGAGACGAATTTCCAAAATTTGGGTGATGATTTTTTGCTTGTATATCTGTTTGCAGCGTGTGTAGCATTTCTTTGAGAAGACATATATTTTCATTAAAATTTGTGGACTCTTTCGCCCTTCATTTCCTTAACCGGACGAAAGTGACCACAGGAAGATATTCTTTGACATCAACGTTTTCCGCACAATTGTTAATATAGTAGCCTTAAGAGAAATCTGCATTCCCACTAATATCTCTGAATGTAGAGTAGTGCCTACTAGTGTCCCCATGTCAATTTTAAGTCCCAGACAGATCTGCCATTTTGTTTTGTTGAACTTCAATATAAATAATATCACTCGAAAATTAAGCTAAACAAGAGGTATGTTCGTCAGATTCAACCTCACAAATCTTGGGATTTTTTTCTCTTATTTTTTGAGGACAGGGCAGAGGTCGTATGGTACGAAGAAATTTTTTATTGGTCCTGTCAAAATAGTATCAAAGATAGTGGTACAATTTTACAAATTCTGAGATATTGTAGCTTTCCGCTACAAATAAAGTTTTAAATGTTCCAATATATATTTCATTTGTGCTAACAATGTTATTAGGGGTCAAAGGTAGCATTTTTTAGACATTTAGCTTTTTAAAGGGCAAAGTACATACGTTTTACATCTTCAAATTCTCTACAAAATTGGTTCACATGATTTTTTACCTAGTTTTTACCATTCTTGGGATATCAAACAGTCACGCTTCCCGCCCGCCTCCCAGTCTTACTGTTTGATTTAGAATAAATTTCACAAATTTCAAACTTATATTGAGTTCGAAATCCACAAAATCGAAACACTCTGTTCGGTACCATACCAAAAGTAAACATTTTAAATATCTCCTTAATTCTTCCAATGTTGTGTCTATAGCTCCACTTGTTAGAGTGGGTCCCCCACAAACCGTGGAATTTTTCAAAAATCATCTACATCTCCAAAAATGCGACAATAACCTCATATGGTATAAACTTGGTGAATCAAAATGCTTAAATCAGACCTTGATTAGGTCCGATAATGGACAATTACCGTTCCTTTTAAGTACCATCCCAACATGGGGTCAACATGTTAGATAATCTTGATATCATCAAGAAAATGTAAATGCAACTATTTCTATAAGAGATGTTGAGAAATGTTGACCTTTGACTCCGAATAAGTACTTCGCAAACAAGGGGTCAATGGGAAGTTTTTTCATTTGTTTGTACCGCTAAATTCCCTCAGTTTGGCTGGGCTATATTTGAGGATATTTTTGTCATGAAAAGGACGTTTTCCCTCTAACAAAGTTTCAAAATTTTGTAAACTTGTGTACTAATTATCACGACTGGTTTTAATTTTTACAACACCAAACTACATGATGTAAATTTATGGAAAAACATGCAAATTGTGAGAAAAACGACGGCAAAAACAACAAAAACTGTATACACTGACACCTTTAAAGTGGTTTGTTCATTTCCCAAAAAAAAATCGACTCATAAAGTCTTAAAGGCAAATTCGAGACGACATTTGTTATTGTGAAACTGATATCGACAAATACTAGTTTTCCTTCCTCAAACGTGCAACCCTCCATCAAAGGCAAACGTGTAACGCCACCCAGCAGGGGGGTCCCAACACAGCGCTGTGCTTTTGAGCGGCAAATGATTTATTACCAATTTAAAAGCACATTTCAATTTCTCTGCCATGAAATTGAATTTGTCATTTTTGGCTACTTAAAGACAACTTTCGGGCCACAATTTATGTGAGCGAGTGAAGTGTTTTATTGTTTTTGTACGTCATCCACGATGCCATATATATATATTTTTTTTACTTTTGCATTACGACTTGATTTTTTTATTTTTGCATGACGATTTGATTTTGTAAAAGTGTTTTTTCTTTTGTATATGTTTTTATCATAACTATTTTAAGTTTTTTTCTGTTTATTATTGAAATAATTATTATTTTTCATTTAGATTTAATTTAGTTTAAATATTTTAAAAATCTAGTCGCAATTTATTGTATATGAACAAAAAAATACAACTGCAATTGTCTCCCTAATCCTTTGATAATCGTTTATTAAAAATGTAAATTTATGCAACAAAAAAAAAAAAAAAAATTCAAACTAATTACGAGGATGGTATGACTGGAAAACGAAGACCGAATCATTATCTACACCCCAACTATGAAAGAGTCCAATTATTAATTATTAGTAGAATGTGGAATAAAAAAAAACTCACAATCGAAAAACTCAATTGTTTCTAGGTCTTGGATGGACAATGGATTTCGTTACAATTTTGGAAGGATAATGAAAAACTTCGTTTTATATAAAGCCATAGTTTTTAATTCTAAAATTTCAGGCAACCAGAATAAGTACAGATTGACTCAAGACCTGCCTTTTCTTCATTTTATATACAGGGTGAGATAAAAAACTGCAACAAAGTCAAACGACACATTTTTTATATTTTTTTAATTTTATGAATGAAAGCAAAAAAATAAATATGGCCAAAATATTTGCCTAGCCAAGGCTTTAATACATCCTCCAGACTATTTTCGCGATAAAAATTAATGCCGAATATTTATTCTGATGACACGGTCGATTAATACGAGCGGAGAGCGACAATCGGCTTGAGTTGTGGTGGCTAACCCAAGGTGCACATTTTCAGCTGACCTGCTTGGAAAGTAAACACTATCATTTTGTTTGTTTACAAACTGCTGGACAACGAATGTTTTCTCATCGGATAAAACCAAATTCGGCAGTTCACAATTTCGGCACCTCTCGAAGCACCTCTCTAGCTCTTTTGCGTCTATTTTCTTTATGTTGCGGTGTAAGTTTCTGCACTATTTGGAATTTAATTTTTTAATATTTGCCGAATGGATATTGCGATATTTTTAGCTCACGAACCATTTTTCGGCCACTGCGACACGGGTTTCAATCAAGTTGCGTCTTTACTTCTCGAAGCCATTTTTGATACCCTACACCACATATTGGTAAGGGTAATATGTCTTTGTGCATTTGTTTGTAACATGGAGAAGGAAGCGAGATAAACCCATAGTTATTTTGGGTGATCTTCATAGAATCACTTTCTGAGTCGGTTAATGAATGTTAGTCCGCCTGTCAATGTATTTTTGTGAACAACATGCCGCTCGCAGTTATTATCCGATTTAGATGAAATTTTTCAAATAATATTTTTTGGCTAAAGGACGAACCCTATTGAAATTGGTGAGAATCGGTTCAAATTTAGATATAGCTCCCATATATGTCTTCAACCGATTTCGAGTTAACTGTTCACCAAATGGCCAATATCAATCCAAAAGACCTGAATTTTGGCACTTCCGACGGAATTCAACCTAAAACCAAGTTTTGGAGAAAATCTGTTCAGGTATGGCTATTGCTCCCATTCACTTCATATACAACTTGATACTTTTCATATAGGAAACCTCTTGTGAACGGGGGACCGAATTTTCATGTTGTTGCTGAATGCAATAGATGGCAGACTAAGACTTAAAACAAATTTCTGACTTCATAAAATAATCGCGACTAATATAGCCCTAGGCTCTCAGTACCCTTAAGTAAGGGCCAGCTTTTTGTATTTTTTATGAAAATTGTTTAAAATGTTGATTAAAGTTAAAGTGGTCCATCATTGTCACACCATCCCCCAATTTAAATTAGAAACATTAAAATTCCCACACCAAATACATGCAAATTAAAAAGTTAAATCAATTGACACAATAAACATAAATATTTATATAACCTCAAAAACCTATCCCTCTCCATAAGCACTGTTATTGCTGAATATTTTATTAAATTTTATTTAAAAATAACATCATCAGGGCAATTGCCCCAAAAAATAGCACAAAATAGTTTCATTTTATTTCCATTATCAGAACCATGTGTGGGCAGAACGTAGCAATGACCAAAAATTAAAATCCATTTAACACCAAAAACTGCAATTCAATTTTATGGAAAATTGTTAAATTGTACCGGTAGCTATAATTTGCAATTGCAATCAGCCAGCCACATAAATTCAAGGATAACTGCATATGCAAAACTAATTATATATTTATTCAGCACCATCATCTCATCGTCGTCATATTGTTATTACAACTACAAAATATTGCACAAATTTAATTTTAATTTCATTTCATTTAATTATTTTCTCTCATCGAAAACATCCCACTGTATGTAAGTTATACGAATATTTTATAGATCCTTGATGTCCCACCCAAAGTGTTTTGTTTTTATTTGTATTTGTATTTGTTTGTCACTCAAAACGGATGAATAAAAATGTAGTTTTCTAAGGAGATATCAACAATATCGTAGAATTTGTTTAGGCCTACTTTAATTTTGCATATGCATAAATTACTATTAAATTAAGATTTTTTACATATATATTTTTAGACTATTGTTATATAATTTTTTTCTACTCTCTCATAATATATTTACATTTAACATTTTAGTATCCCAGACAAACAGACAGACATAATGAATAGAAGCAATATTTTATGGAATATCTATTATTATTATTATTTTTTTATATTTTGTTTATATAATTTGTATAAATATTCGTTATTTTATATCTCTGTACATTTTAAACAAACAAAAAAAAATGAATACGAAAAAAAGAACATAACAACAATATCATTTTAAGTATAACAATGGAATATAAAACAACAAGAACGCATCTATTGTAATTACAAGCAACAACAGCAAAACAAAAACTACTGATATTAATAAACAAAATTTGAATAAATCAATAAATATATTACAAAAAAACAACACACACAAAATAAAATAATTTTCAAATTAGAATTTAATTGTTTTATTTATGTTCGACATTTAGAGGGAGGAGTTATAATACATATTATGTGTTATACGATTAAGGTGGGAATATTGAATAGAAAATCTAATTTCTATGAAATTGTTCTAAAGAATATGCAGACTGCATAGTCGGGAAGGACAGGTGTGCCTTCCCTGATCTCATAATGACAAAAATATTATATAAAACTTTTCCAGAATTCCACTCATTTCTGTTACCCCAACAAATCATAACAATCAAATCATACAAATTTCGAAAAATTATAAAATGGAATGTTTAACCTATCTCTAAATAACTCAATATAATTATAGTCCCCAGTTAATGGAACTTCGGATTTTTAGATGTTTTGATTTGTGATTTTTAAGAGCTATAGATAACAGTTTTTCAAAAACAAAAAAACATTTAATTCAGAAAAATATATGAACAACTAAAATAGTATCAGTCTGTTTTGCCGACAGATGTATACCCCCAATCCTAAGTTATGATTATTCAAACGGTTGACCCTTTATGGTTGAGGTTCCAAAGCAGTTGGCCAATATGGCCATTTTGTAGCTGACCTAAGACTGAAATAAATATTACAACGTGCCAGATTTGGACTATATGGACTACTTCCTATACTTTATATGAGATGTGTGCAAATTTTTGGAAAATGTGGAAATATACGTGAGGTGCCAGATATAGCGGATCGAAGTATGCAAATATTATAAATAATTCAATTAAATATTCATATCAGATTTCTGGTTAGGAGAAATATTTAGATATAGCAAGTTGTAACGAATCGCAGATTTGTTTCGCAAGTTACGACAGATATAAATATTGGAAATTGTGACCTATTATGGGTGAGGCACCAGAAGGGGTTGGCAGATACAGGGTGAGATGAAAAAAATGCAATTAATTTCAGACTGCTGTCATTTCTAAGCCACTCGTCCGACAAATGTTAAAATTATTCCAGAGACAACTCATTATTTTGTTTAGAAACAAACAAAAGCATTTAGATTACAATTTTCCAGAAAAGAAAGTATTCGTGATGGAATTCAAGCGTGATAGTGTGATTTCTTTATATTTTCCTGGAAAACTACAAGTGGCTATTGTTAGAGCACTTCAGCATTTAAATGTGAATAAATCGTTTGTGTCTCCTACCACCGCTCGTTACCGTGATACTGGTAGTGTGGCTCTCTACGGCCAAGGAAGTGAACGGAAGAAAACAGCAACATCAGCAGAAATGGTTCGAAAAGTAAAGAAGCGACTTGATCGAAACCTGCGTCGCAGTGGCCGAAAAATGGCTTGTGAGCTGAACATGTCGCAATATTCCATTCGGCAAATGTTGAAAAACGAGCTCGAGGTAAAGCCATTGAAATTCCAAAAAGTGTAAGAACTTACTCCGCAACAGAAAGAAAATAGACACAAAAGAGCTATGGAGTTGTGTCGCTTGGCCGAAAGTGGTAAACTGTCGAATTTGGTTTTCTCCGATCAGAAAACATTCGTTATCCAGCACTTTGTAAACAAACAAAAGGATCGTTTTTACTTGCCAAAGAGGTCAGCTGAAAATTTTCACCTTCGGTTGACCACCAGATCTCAAGCACCGGCCATGGTAATGGTGTGGGCCGTCATAACAGCCGATGGTCGCTCTCCGCTCGTATTAATCGACCTTGGCATCAGAATAAATGCAGAATAATATTGCGAAAATATTCTGGGGGTGTATTAAAGCCTTGGGCACGCAAACATTTTGGCCGCAGCCCTTGGACATTTCAACAGGAGTCAGCACCATCGCACTCAGCACGCGCCACCCAAGAATGGTTATGAGGTGGTAATGAGGTTCCTCGCTTCATTTCCAGCGCCAAATACCAAAGTGTCGATCACATTAAGCAAGCGCTTCGCCTCCTCTGATGCTTCCCTTCCCTTGACCATTTCCAGACGTGATAAATTGCATATAATTGGACGTGGTCACCGCTTTGGTTAAATGTATGCGGATCTAACTATGTTTGTCAAAGTGTTACCCGGTGGTAAGACTTTAAAGAATATTTTCCCCCTAACTTCCTGGTCAATAATAGTATTTTTTAAAACCATCACAGGGTCAAGATTTTTAGTTAATATCAAAAATATTGCTCACAGAATGCCTGACCTAAAATCTTGGTCCATGCGGACGATGGCATTGGATTTTCAAAAATATTTCTAAAATTTCCTAGCCAAACTTATGATTTTTGAAGGAGTTCCTTGTAGGGAATCATAATTTAGGCTTAAGATTTACTTTTTCAATAACTATTAGAAAATAAATTTTTTTAAAATTTTTTCTATGACCTATTTTTTGTACAATCAATTTTAAAGGATTTTACATTCAAAAGGTCCAATAATAATGACATCTTGAGAATTTGGTATCTCCCCTAAACCATGAATAGATTGAATGAACTGATCGAAATATTCTGTGACGGCAATTCATCTAAAACTTTTCGAAAAATAGACCATTCTAAGTTAACTGCTGTTTTGAGACCAACACAAGTAAAACTTAAATTTACCATTTGAAATTATTATTAGTTTGAATTTTTGCTTGGATTTAATAATATTTTAATAAGGCGTACCTAGTAAAAATATAAATACAAGGTATAGAAATATTTTAATCATTCATAAAAGCAATTTAATATACATACTTCTCTGTACAAGTACAAACCAAACGTGCTTCTAAGAAAGCGTATATATTTAAATATTAATATTTTGCTGAGTATAAGAAACATAGTATGGGTATGGAATAGATTGTTGAAAGAAAAAACAAAATCCTGAAATCCCCATATTAGATTAAAATTTAATGAAAAACGAAACTCAAATGGACATTTCAACTCATTTACATTAGAGAAGTTGTTGTCTACACGTGCCCGCCGCAGACCACTAATAAGCCCCACGAGCATGAAAATGCTGCTCTGCAAGCCATAAAAACAAGAAGCAATCAAAGAGACTCAATTACAAGAAACCAGACAAAATTCTTGCTAAGTCAAATACTTAGGCCGATGATATTCAGCCATTGCTCCATAAAAATAAGTTTATTAACATTTGTTGTTAAACATTAAATTCATGTAAATTAAAAAATTTAATGCAACGGCAACGATGACTACTACACAACGACATATGGCCAATGCGTATGAGTCTCATTTTATTATTTTTTTGCCTTTTTGCCAAGCAATTCGACAGAACGGCAGGCACTGCCATTGTCGTACAAATCAACATTAAGACATTTAATTCTGGATGCATTTAATTCAACTGTTCTTGCATTCGCCTTCCATAGAAAGCCTTAAGAGTAATTGTTGAATAAAAAGGCAATGGAAAAGTCGATTCAAACTTATTTTCAAGCACTTGGACTGGTGGGGCGGTATGTTCGCGTAAAACTAATTTCAATATTTTGTAACACAATTTTTCCATAAGAACGTATCATGTAGAGACAGAAAATTTCACATTCTTCTCGAAAAATGAAGGAGACCTGTGCTCTTTAGAGAGAATGTTTTTGGATATAATGTGAGTGAACATTTAATTGACATATTTTCTAAATTACGACTTTAAATAGAAGGTTGAATCAAATGTAAAGCCAAAACAAATATATCTAGGCTGACCTTAAATTTAAAAATTTTATGACCCGAACTTTTAATTGGGTAGAATATATCTGAGTACCAAAAAGTACAACATATTTTTCTGTAAAGACTAAACATTGAACTAAACTCGGCTTAAAAATCGAACTCATATATACAATTTCGTGGTGAGAATCTCTTCAGGTGTGAACGAGTCGGAAATATCAGGGTGATCGAATTTTGTACCACGAGAGTAAACAGTTGAACCCAATAAGTTTAGGTAACTGTGTACTTTTAGACCGAGAAATATGGCATGTAGACCAACGGTTTCAGAACCTAGGTTTCTTTGGACAAAATCCGGGCATTTGGAGTTGTTTCTGGCTGGAGTCTGGCTGCTTCGCACTATAACTCTCTAAGAGAGCACACGACTTCGTCCAAATCTGGTTCATCATCAAACTTAGATAGAGGTCCACTCTTTTTGGCACCTCCCCCACGAAAGGTCTAGATTTTTATATAAAATAATTTACTTCATAGAATGGGAAAGGATCATCCGATTTCGTTCATACTTTGGAAATTCCAATATTTGTATCTGTGCTATGTCAGGTGTGTAAATGGACAATATCGGCCCACTCCCCCACAAAGGGGTTGAAGTTTGGAATAATCATAGATCTTCGCAAATGTGAAATAACAGCAGATTCATTTCCAAAGTGTATTTTAGATCTGGCACCAAGATAGGATATATCGGACTACTCATTCTGGTACCTCCCCGCAAAAATA